GCACCGACAGCAGCCTCCTGCTGAGCACGTCGCCAGGAAGGTTGCTGCCGACGACGACGACGACGACGAGGACATTGATGCCCTGATCGAGGACCTCGAGTCGCAGGATGGCCACGAAGGCTTCGACGAAGAGGAGGAAGAGGGCACCCCCGGTGGCGGCCGTGTCGTTCCCGAGGAGATGCTTCAGACTGACAGCCGTGTCGGTCTGACTGAGTCCGAAGTTGTTGCCCGTCGCCGCAAGTATGGTCTCAACCAGATGAAGGAGGAAAAGGAGAATCTGATTCTCAAGTTCTTGTCCTACTTTGTTGGACCTATCCAGTTTGTCATGGAGGTGAGTGGCAACGCGCGACAACGCTTTTTTCTCAACCCCTCGTCGCTTTTTCTTCCCTGGGATTGGCTTGGCAATCAATGTTTCCATTCCCGGGTCTCTTTTGTTTTCCCCTTGATTTACGACTATGACGCCATTGCTTCTTGTTGTTTCTGCCTCGCAACGCCGCGACGGCCACACACTCCTGTTCCATCCCATCAGTCCTCGGCATTTTTCGTTGCGTTTTTTGCGTCTTCACATGACGGCCATTGGGGCCACTGCGCAAGCGAAAGACGCATGTTTTTCTGCCGCGGCCTTTTTCCCTTCTCGATGCCGCGAGACATTCCCCATGGCCATTGTTTTTGCCCACATTTTGCATTCTCCTCCGCGCGCATTTTTTTTTTGTACTGCTATGACTGGCGCAGATTACAAGCCCCACAGGAGCTCGGGTGGGCCGGTTGCAATTGGCCCACGACACTGGTTGGCTGCATGTGGGGGCGCCGGGTGGATGTGCGAAAGTGGATTTGGATGGTTTTTGAAGCCGAATCCATCCGACACATTCACACTCGTCCGCTTGCTTGCATTTGCACGCCTCTTTGCCCGTCCTTTCCGGCTTGCTCTTTTTTCCGACGGATGGTCCGCAGTCTGCCTGCTTGGCCTTTGCGTTGTTGGTTTGGCGCTGGCCCCACCCGTCCCGTCCTTTTCTGGACAGCCTTGTGCGTCCTGGCAACCGTTTTGCACGGCATCATGGTCATGGCATCATGGTCCTCGGGCTCCTGCGCCGCTCTCGTCCCATGCCCATCGTCTCACTGTCGCATTTGCGCCCTCATTTTGTCTTTATTCCGTGCGCTAACCAGGATCTCTGTTTTTTTGTCTCTAGGCTGCTGCTGTCTTGGCCGCCGGTCTCGAGGACTGGGTCGATTTCGGTGTCATTTGCGCTCTGCTGTTGCTGAACGCTGGTGTCGGATTCGTCCAGGAATATCAGGCCGGATCTATCGTCGACGAATTGAAAAAGACCCTTGCTCTGAAGGCCGTCGTTCTCCGTGACGGCACCCTCAAGGAGATTGAGGCCCCCGAGGTCGTCCCTGGCGATATCCTCCAGGTCGAGGAAGTGAGTTCAATAGCCAATCCGCGTGCGCTCCTGGCGGCCGCTTTGTTGTGTGCTTGTTCGGTCATCCTCGGCTCCACCCGGTTGCCCCCCGGCCCGACTGCCACCCAACACAAATCGCCATGGCGCGACTGCACACATGCCAGTCTGCGCAGCCCATCATCTATCTCGCATCTGGGCTTGTGCATCTCTGGTCAATTGGCCAAGGACACCTCAAAAAGACCCATTTTCGCGCTGGCATTTGGCATCTGGTGGGCGGTCCAGTTGGTGGCAACGGGTGGCCCGAGGATGCACGCATGCGGTGTGACGCGCAGACACGAATCCTCCTCGTGTAGCCAGTGACCACCTCGAGAGTCAAAATCAATTGTATACTAACCCGCCGTCTTTTGCAGGGTACCATTATTCCCGCCGATGGTCGCATTGTTACCGAGGATGCCTTCCTTCAGGTTGATCAGTCCGCCATCACTGGCGAGTCGCTGGCTGTCGACAAGCACAAGGGCGACAACTGCTATGCTTCCTCCGCCGTCAAGCGTGGCGAGGCCTTCATTGTCGTCACCGCCACCGGCGACAACACCTTTGTTGGCCGTGCCGCTGCTCTCGTCTCTCAGTCCGCCGGTGGTTCCGGTCACTTCACCGAGGTTCTCAACGGCATTGGTACCATTCTGCTGATTCTCGTCATCGTCACCCTTTTGGTCGTCTGGATCTCCTCCTTCTACCGATCCAACCCCATTGTCAAAATCCTTCGCTTCACCCTGGCCATCACCATCGTCGGTGTCCCTGTCGGTCTTCCTGCCGTCGTCACCACCACCATGGCTGTCGGTGCCGCCTACCTCGCCAAGAAGCAGGCCATTGTTCAGAAGTTGTCCGCCATTGAGTCTCTGGCTGGTGTCGAGATTCTGTGCTCCGACAAGACCGGTACTCTGACCAAGAACAAGCTGTCACTGTCCGAGCCCTACACCGTCCAGGGTGTCGATCCCGATGACCTGATGCTTACTGCCTGTTTGGCCGCCTCTCGCAAGAAGAAGGGTATCGACGCCATCGACAAGGCTTTCCTCAAGGCCCTCAAGTACTACCCTCGCGCCAAATCCGTCCTGTCCAAGTACAAGGTGATTGAATTCCACCCCTTCGATCCCGTCTCCAAGAAGGTCCAGGCTCTTGTCGAGTCTCCCCAGGGCGAGCGCATCACCTGCGTCAAGGGTGCTCCCCTCTTCGTCCTCAAGACTGTCGAGGAGGACCACCCCATCCCGGAGGCTGTTGACAAGGCTTACAAGAACTGTGTCGCCGAGTTCGCCACGCGTGGTTTCCGCTCCCTTGGTGTTGCCCGCAAGCGCGGCCAAGGTGCGTGGGAGATTCTCGGCATCATGCCTTGCTCTGATCCTCCCCGTCACGACACTGCCCGCACCATCAACGAGGCCAAGGTGCTCGGTCTGTCCATCAAGATGTTGACTGGTGATGCTGTCGGCATTGCCCGTGAGACGTCCCGCCAACTTGGTCTTGGTACCAACGTCTACAATGCTGAGCGTCTCGGTCTCGGCGGCGGCGGCGATATGCCCGGCTCCGAGGTTTACGATTTCGTCGAGGCTGCCGATGGGTTTGCGGAAGTCTTCCCCCAGCACAAGTACTCCGTTGTCGAGATTCTGCAGCAGCGTGGCTACCTCGTAGCCATGACTGGTGACGGTGTCAACGATGCTCCCTCTCTGAAGAAGGCCGATACCGGCATCGCCGTCGAGGGCGCCTCTGACGCCGCTCGTTCTGCGGCGGATATTGTCTTCCTTGCACCCGGTCTCGGTGCCATCATTGATGCCCTCAAGACTTCTCGCCAGATTTTCCACCGCATGTACGCTTACGTCGTCTACCGTATCGCTCTGTCCCTGCACATGGAGATCTTCCTCGGGCTCTGGATCGCCATCCTGAACCAGTCCCTCAACATCGAGCTCGTCGTCTTCATCGCCATTTTCGCCGATATTGCCACACTGGCCATCGCTTACGACAATGCTCCCTACTCGCAGACCCCCGTCAAGTGGAACCTGCCCAAGCTCTGGGGTATGTCCGTCCTTCTCGGTGTCGTCCTGGCCATTGGCACCTGGATTGCTCTCACCACCATGTTTGCTGGCACCGAGAACGGTGGTATCGTCCAGAACTTTGGTAAACTCGACGAGGTCCTGTTCCTCGAAATCTCTCTCACTGAAAATTGGCTCATCTTCATCACCCGCGCCAACGGCCCCTTCTGGTCTTCCCTCCCCTCGTGGCAACTCACGGGCGCCATCCTGGTTGTCGACATCCTCGCCACCTTCTTCTGTCTTTTTGGTTGGTTCGTTGGTGGCCAGACATCTATTGTCGCCGTTGTCCGTATTTGGATCTTCTCCTTTGGTATCTTTGCCATCATGGGTGGTCTTTACTATTTCATGCAGGGCAGCGCCGGCTTTGACAACCTCATGCACGGCAAATCACCCAAGAAGGACCAGAAGCAGCGATCGCTGGAAGACTTTGGTATGTTTACGGTTCCCCGCGGTGCTAGGCATCTTGTACTCCTGTCAAGGCCACTCGCTAACAGTTTTGCAGTCGTCTCCCTTCAGCGTGTGTCCACCCAGCACGAGAAGTCCTCGTAAATATAGAATGGCTCTACTGTTACATACCCGCACGGCCTTGAGCCTGCCCTTTCGCTTTCACTATGTTTTAAATTTGCATTGAACGAGTCTTGAACGTGAGCATCAACGCGGAGTGGGTGAGGAGGCAACTTTTCATTTTTCCCCTTAGAGATACCGTCTTCTAGACACCTAATGAATAAATTTACAAGAAATGACACGTTTCTGGAGCCAACGAGTGATGTCGGCCATGCGTACGTCGGACAATCTGCTGCAGAGGATGGCGTAGGACCAAGTTCGATGCTGGTTTTCTGCCGGCGGTGCATGCACGCACGACCAGCCCTCGCTTCATAGGGCTGGCTTGTTGCCGAAGAGGAGGCAGAACTTTTGCTAATTGGAACGGGCCAGAGTTAGTTCAAGCTCATGTCACGTGACCAAGACCTGTCGTCCATGTCCGAGGGGTCCTGGTGTTTTTTGTTTACCTAGACTGCCACCATGAAGGAGTGAATTTTTTTTTTTCCTCGTTTGTCTTTTTCTTCCTGTGCGGGTTATGTCTTTCCTCCTTTAATTTTTTTTTTCAGTAGAAAAAGAGTTCTAAAAAAAAAGCGAGACCTTTTTTTCTTCTTCTATCCCCCCCCCTTCGCCCCCTTTGGCTGATTACTGGCCTTGTGAGGCTGCAAGGTAAGATTCTGTTTCCCGGCGACTGTTACGAAAGGGGCGCAAAAAGTATTTGTTTTGACCAGAGCAGGCAGGCATCGGGCTGTCGCGAGCCATATATATGCCTTCATGTAGCGCGGCGGATTGGAGTAACTTGTCGGTTGGCATGTCGACATATTCTGCCGGATAATCCAGTCGAATGAGTGGACAGGTAAGGAGAGATTGAGCGAGCGTCATGGAAATACCGGGGTATTACTACGGTAGGGCGATTTTTCCTTTCCTCCTTCTTTTCGGCGTGGCTCCAGCGATGGGAGACACGGGGAGTACCCAAGTTGTGTGTCGGATGTCGGACGCAGAGGACGGCGTGCTGATCTGGTATACAGACGCCGCCAAGAAGAAGTACTTCAAGGTGGCGAGCGCATCGACGGCCTCGTCAACTTCGTACTCCTTTGAGGCCGTGAAGCGGCGCAAAATCGAGGACGTGTGTCGGCAGGAGGCTGGTCTCCGGGCTGAGCTGGTAAAGGGACACATCAAACGACATGGATTGCGCAAGGACATAGTCTCTGGGGGCTTGCTGAGCCGGGAAGTAGAGCGTGCTGGCGTGGCGGAGGACGGGCGAGGCCGGACGTTGGATGAAGATATTGGCGCCGCGGCGTGGGCGGGTGGCTTGCAGAGCAAAGGGCGCGTTCCGTTTATGCCGAGTTTCGGCTGGGGCAGGGAGGTGAATATGAGTTGCTTCTGGATTGGGGGTGCGGGAGTCGCGTATGCGAGTGAGTTTGCGTCTTGTTATCCTCGTTCTTGATCTCTTTCCCCCGCTTGCCCCCCCCTCTGTTTTATATATCAAGGGCTCGCTGACTTTTAATTCAAGCTTTGGACGAGGAGTCACTGCTGGGGACGTACATCTCTACGAATGACAATGACGTGTATGCCAGGAAGAAGCGGCTGCCTGACAGATATCACGGAGCGGAGGTTGGCTGACGTGCTGCGTAGATTGACGTTTGGGACGGATCCGGTGACGCGTGAAGTGCGCCGCGGCCCCCAGTTTCGAGCCGAGTTGATACGGTGTCCGCAGATGTCATCCATCAAGTACCATGAACCGACGCACAAGATGTTGCTGACGTCGCGGGAGCCGGACCACAGCTGTGGACTGTACTTGTTCTCGCCGCTTGTCTCGGAGGAGCCCGGGACGAGGGGCCAGTGGATGTTGGGAGAAGGTGAGTTCTTTTGCATCCACCTTGCTGTATTCGTTTCAACTTCACTTGCTTGGCCAAGTATGCATCACACATGGCGATACCGACCGACCGACCGACTGACCCGACCCCGACCTCAAATAGCCGACCACTACCAGCGCCTCACCATCCACCGCCGCATCCGCGACGAATGGGTCGTCCACCAGAGCACGCCGGCGCTCCCGTCGTCCAACCTCCTCTGCGTGATGGGCACCAACGTCGGGGTCGTGCTCGTCCACTCCAACGACTCCATGTCCTGGGCGGCGCCAGCCCAACCGGCCAAGGGCACGCAGCAGCCGCAGGAGATCTTCGACCAGGACTTCCAGCACTCCAACCACAACGTGCTCCTGGCGGGCGGGCGACAGCCACGCCTCTGGACGACGGACCTGCGCACCCCCGTGACGGAGTGGTCCTGCGCCCGCCAGCCCAGCTCCATAGCGCACTTGCGAAGCGTCAACGAGCATCACGTCCTGACGGCCGGGCTGCAGGACAAGATGGGCCTGTACGACATGCGGTTCCTCAAGAAGGGGCCCAACGGGACGACGCCGCTCCTCTCCTTCCCGGGGTACAAGAACGCCGCGCACTTGCACACGGGCTGGGACGTGAGCGCCGAGCTAGGCGTCGTGGCGGCGGCGCAGGACGACGGCACAGTCAAGCTGTTCTCGTTGAGGTCGGGCAGGGCGCTAGAGAGCAGGGCGCTGGCTGCCGTAGGCACAGATACTCCCGTCCGGGCCTTGACGTTTCGTGGCATGGCGAGCGACAGGCTCCCGAGTTTGTGGATCGGCCAGGGGCAAACGTTGAGGAAGTTTTCCTTTGGCGTGAGGGCCTTTGAGGACCAGGCTTGACCTCTGCCACGACAATCCTGGCTTCAAGTTCAGGTCACTTGCGTCTGTCGGATCAGGTATTTTTCACGTTTCCAGTGAAGGGCGTCGCGAGGCTGATTCCTCAATGCCTGGACGGCCATTGGCAAGTCCCACGCATACAATTTCAACATCTCTCTCCTCTTGTAATTCGCCGTACGGAAGCGGGGAATTCGGACATGGCAACGCCAAGCATCTGACGCGTCACAGACGCCCGGTTTGTTTTAGATGGTGGCGAGAGAAGCCTCGTCGCCGGCAGATGTGATGTTGTTGTGACTTTGCGTGGCTGGGCTGGTCTTTGCGCAGCGCCGACTCTGGTTAAGTCCGGCATGGAATCAAAGCCCGTCAACGATCAACGTCAAGTACGGAGTACGTAGAGCAGCTGCCGTGTTTCCAAGCGGACCAAGTTGGCCGTACCACGGTGTCGACGCAACAAAAACGGCAGCGGATGCAGCATGTAGTTAATTAATTAATGTGTTGATTCCAATTCCAGCTGATGGTTGCTTGCTGCTGGCGACTTCTCCGGCACGCACGCGGCACCACGATGCAAGTTGGAGATTTGGGGCCAGCAGAACACGTGAGACGCTCAACGCTTCTTGACTGAAGAAGAAAGGACAAGAAAAGAAAAAAAGAATGGACACCCCGTCACGTCTCGCCTCACCTTCACCGGACAAGGTGTCGCATGCTGGCTTGCGTGATCTGGGAATCGAACCCAGGGCTCCCCGACGTTGCTCGGATGGCAACGGAGAATTTTACCACTAAACCAATCACGCGGCTCGCTGCCGAATCAGCTGCTGTTGAGGACGGGCCACGGTAACGAGGTATAACAAGACTAGAGAGCAAGGGGAGCGAAGGGAAGGGAATGATGTGCATTGCACGGCGTGGCAGTGCGACGGCTACTTGATTCAACACAGCAGAATACGAAAACAAGTCGACGTTTGCTTCTCTCTTGCGGCTCGGCACCAACCAACCAGTCAGTCTGCACCACACGTGTGCGCCGTTCCACCACGGCCACGACATGCAAGATACACGATGCACGATACACGATACACGATACACGATACACGACACACGATACACGATGCGCGACGACGCCGCGAATCCCGCGCCCAGCGGCAGGGCCCGCCGTTCCCAGTCCACTGTCCCGGCCTCCTAGCAGTCCACCGAGGGGTCCAGCGGATACGTGCCCGTCAGTTCTGGAAACGCCCTCGCGAACCTCTCCCCGAGCCGCCAGTTGTCCGGGTTCCGGATGTGCCGCTCAAAGACGGGATTGATCACCACCTCGTCCGAGTCCGGGAGCATCAGGAGCGCGTCCGTCTCCTCGTACGGCCAGCTGACCCGCAGCGACGTGGTAAAGGGTATGAACCAGTTGTCCAGGTCGTACCGGCGCGGGTCCCACGCCCGCGCGAGTCGTTCTCTCATGGCCGGGAACGGCAGCAGGTCGACCCAGGCCGGGTGGGCGTGCTCCATCTGCGGCCGCCCGGGGACCATGCACTCGGGGATGCGCTCGAAGTTCTCGCGCGTCGGCGAGATCTGCCAGCGCATCAGGTGGAACATGACGTAGAGGGAGGCGACGCGCTCCGGCAGCCGCGATATCCCGGGGAACGTGGCGAGGATGTCGGTGAAGACGCGGGATAGGGGGTGGCTGTAGACGCTGTTGGACGGGTTGAGGAGGGACGAGACGGACGGGTACCGCGGGCCGATGACCTCTCGGATGGGCACGCCGTCGGCGATGCGCTGGCGGCGCTCGGTGAGGAAGTTGAGGAGCAGGGAGTCCAGCGGACACGACGGCTCGCTGTGCTTGAGTTGCTGCGCGTGGAAGGGGAGGCCGCTGCCGGGGGCGCTTGGCTCCGGGCTCCGTCGTCGTCGTCGTTGTTGTTGTTGTTGTTGTTGTGGTGGTGGTGGTGGTGCTCGAGCTTGGTGCGGCATCCCGGACGCGCTGCCCGCCCGTTGTTGGTGTCCCTCGGGTGCCGACGAGCCCGACGAGCCCGACGAGCCGAGCGGCTCCTGCCTGGAGGCGTCCGACGACGTCCAGGTGTGGTGGTGATGGCCCTCTTGCTCGTTCTGGCTGGCCGCCCAGTCGTGCTTCATGGGAACGTGGTGATACCGGGGCGAGTCTTGGGCGCCGTTGGCGCCGGCCTGGATCCGGCTCACGCGCTCCCCTGGTCGCAGGAGGAACTCCAGACCCAGCCGCTCCCGGCCCATGTCGAGCCCCTGGCTCAGCTGAAGCTTCTGGCTCTGCAGCTGCGTCATGTACGGCGGGCTCGTGTGGGCGTCCGACGACGACGCCGCCACGAGCTCATCGTTCAGGCCGGGCGACACATGCGGCGGTTGGCTTTGCAGGTGCGGCTGGGCGTGGTCCAAGGTCGCGGCGGGAGAGGCCGTTGCTGCAGGCGTGGCGGCGCCGTACTGATGGATGCCCGGGCTCGGCGCGGCCGTCGCCGGCTGGGAAAATGCACGAGTTGGCGAGACGTGCGTCGTGTCCCCTGACGTTGCTGGAGGAAGACACGGTCAGCTCAGCTCCCGGACGCAGGGTGACCTTGAGTGAGACCAAGAAGGAAATTGTTCCTCTCAGACATCGACCTACACGATCCGACAATTGGTCTCAGAACGCCGATGACACAGGCCAGCTGGCGCTTGATATCGGCATTCTCCTGCTCCACGGCCTCCTTGGCCCTGACGACAGCCTGGAGGTCCTGGTAAGGCTTCTGGTTCGTCAGTTCCCGTATACGCCTCTCCAGAGCCTCGATCTGGTTCTTGGTTCTTTCGCGAATGGCGCGCTGTGCCTCCCGGTCTGGGCGCCAGTCCTGTCCGTTAGCCACGCGTGTCCTCGGAAACTCGGGTTCGACGCCGACGGGCTCAAGCGCATCCGCCGTCCCGTCTGCCTGCCCGGGGTGAAGGGAAGGGAGAGTGTCACGACGCACCGTTTGCTCTCTTCTTGGCGAGCTGCTCGGGCGTCAGGTTGGCCACGCCGCGGCTTCCCGGTCCCTTCTTCTTCCTCTTCGCTCCCGCTCCCGATCCCGATCCCGCTCCGCCGTCGGCCCCGGCCTCGGCCTCGGCCCTCTCGTCACGCCTAGCCTCGCCGTCCGGGCCGCGCTTGATGCCGGCACCCTCAGCCCCGGTGCTGCCGGCGCCGGGCGTGGCAGCCGTGGCAGCCGTGCTGGGGGACCTGGCGTCCGGGCTGTCGGCCAGGTCGCTCGCCGCGGAGGCCATGCCGGAGCCCCCCCGTGCACGACGGACGCGCGGGATCGACGGGATCGATGGGATTGAGCGGCGTTCCGAGTGGGCCACGAGTCGGCGGCGACAAGCTGGCTAGCTCGTCCCCCGACGTCTGACGCGTGGTGACGGCGTCCACGGGAGCGCGCCAACGCCGCCGGGGCCCCGGGCTAATCGGGTTCAGACCAACCAAGGCAGACGGGCAAGCAGCGCGGCTGCGGCTCTGGAAACCTTGCAAGCGCTGCGCAAGGGCGACCCAGGAGAAAGGGCCCGGATCAAGGGTGGTCATGCTCCGTACCAAGGCACTGTACTCGGTACGTCGTCGCACGATACGCGCCGCGGTTGCATGGATGGGAATGGAGGAGTGAGGTCCAAGTGGGGAAGTTGCTCTTGGAATCTTGGGCGCGCACGACGCTTTTGAATCATGGCCAACGCCGCCTCGACGTCCATCCCGAGTCATGTGCGAGGTGCCAGCCAGTCATGTGGGCCCCGCCGTGCGGCGCTGCTCCTGCTCCTGCTCCTTCCTCCCTTGCATGTCAACGGCGCGGCAAGGCACGGCACGGCACGGCACTTCCTTCACTCACGCTCTCTCACAACACACACACGGCTGCTTAGTCCCAGTGTACCCTCGAGCTTTCAAATTACGACGACAACAGCAGCACCGCTGCCAAGTTACCCCGATTTCCAAGTCCCCTTCTAAACAACCCATCACACAGACGTACACCTCCCCGCCCCTTGCCCCAACATCCCAGCTACTCCGCCGATGCCCTCGCCAACGCCTCGTGCAAATGCGGTGGGAACCTGTACCTCAACTGGCTGGTATACGTCGTCAAATCGAGCGTCATCTGCTTCAGCTGCTCCACCATCATCCTCCTCGTGCCCTCATTGCCGCTAAACTGTCCATTGGTGAGCTCCTCCCTCTGTCGGACGCAGCATATGATGGTCCACATCAGCAAGTTGGGAACATTAATCGAAACAGGCTGTGATAGCCCCGAAAACTTGGACGCGTAGGCGCGAATCGTGCTCGCGTCGCCGGCTGCGTCGAGCGGCAGGATCTCGAGGCTTCGGATTTTCTGCGGCCCAGTCAGTGTTGGAAGCCCGGCTTGCAATTCATGTCATGCGAGCTGGTGCGGTTCGGGGAGGCGTTCAGACTTACGTCCAGGGCTTGCGCCCACTGACCGGCCTCCACCAGGTTTTTGATGTTGCTCATTTCCAGGAGCACCCGGCATGCCGTCTTGTTCTGGTCCTGGATCTTGCGGTAGAACATGACCTCACGCTCATACATGGCCATCATGGTCCTTGCCAGCTCGACCGGGTCGTCGATGGATGCCAGGCTGAGACTGCTGCCCGGCTGCTGGGAGTCTGCTTCCGCGCCGCCAGCTCTGGGCTTGATGGGCATCAGACGCATGGGGTCCTCTCCAATCTCCAGGGAGATGGCCTCGCTGAGCGCCCGGCTGACAATGGCCACAACCGTATCGTACTCCCCAGCCAGGTGGTACAGGAGGACCGAATCGGTGGTGCGTCCGCTCTCGTCCGCAAAACTGGCCGCCTGCAATGTCACCGTGTTGACAAAGTCCGTCCCCTCTGTGAGACCAATCAGAGGCCCGCGCTCTTCAATGATGCCACGGATGGCGCGGCCGTCGGGTCGGATGTCGCCAATGAGCTTGCTGAATTCACGAGTCTCGAGCACCAGTTCGCGCAGTGCCTCGTGGCACAGGTTGCTCTGCCGCTCGCCGGCCTCGCCGCCCAGATCCTTGTTGAGGCAGATGAGAGTGAGGTAATCCACGGCAGACACCACGTCCGCCGCCCGGAAGTCTCTCGTGTAGTACCCAATCATGCGACCAAAGTTGATCTGCGGCAGGTTCTTCACACTGCAGCTGCGCAAGTCGTTGGACGTGGATACGGGATCGCTTGGGCGCAGCAGTCCGTAGTACTCGAGTGCCAACGCAAAGTGAACGGCGTCCACATACGAAAACGGGTACAAGTATGCGATGGCATCCTCAAACATGCCGGCTAGAATTTGTAGATAAAAGAACATGCCAAAACTTCCGCTCGTGGTGTCCTCCGACGTCGACTTTGGAAAGTGTTTGAGTCCGATTTCTTTGATGCTCGACTGCAGCTCTGCCAGACCGTACGACTCGCCGGCCATCTCTGTCGTCTTGTCCACTTCTCTGGCGAGGTTGAACTGCAGCCAGATCCAGTCGTTGATGTCGGTGTTCAAGCCATCCAAGTTGCGGTTGCTCAGCTCGATCCGTCCAATGACCTTGTAGCAGGCCATGCGGAACGGATCGATGGAGTTCTCGGGGGCATTTCGCGATCGCTGGATATACTCGTTGGTACAGCGGTCCAACAGCTTCCGGTTCGTGATCCGCCGGTCCTCGCTAGCGGCGTAGTTGTTGAGATACGTCGCAAAGGTGCGGTCGATGCCCCTAAAGTGATTGCTGTTGTCGTTGACGTATTGAGCTGCCTCGTTCACGTGGCCACATCTCAAGAGGTAGAACACTACAGCCCAGACGAACTCTCCCTGGATCTGCTGAAGCTCCGTATTGTCGGGTACCAGGTCTTTTCTGGCAGAACGGAGACGAATGTATGCCTTGACTTTGCTGGTGATGTCGGGCAGACCGCCAAGCCTCGCTTCATGAGGATGCTTGGCAATCAGAGACTCAACCTCCCTCAAGAACTGCTTCTCAAGAAACGCCGTTGAGCCGTGGAGGATTCGCTTCCTCATCGTGACAGAGGCCGCAGAGTTGGGGTTCTCATCCAGGTACATGCCGGCAAACTGCCGCTCCCTGGCCGTCGCACGGTTGATTGTCGTTTCAGCCTCGGCATCTTCGCCTACAATCTCAATCGTAGCGCGGTAAGCCTCGACTAAATGCGACGCATGAGGCTCGTGAGACTTCTGTACCACCTCGCCCAGTTCGGTAAGAATAGGAAAAGGGTGCTTCCTGACTCGGGCAGCATTGAGCGTGCGAACCTTGTCCGCCAGCTTGGCCTGTCTCTCACGAAGGACTCGGTCTTCTATGGTGCCGCGTGACTTGAGAGGCCCCGATGCACCAGCGGGACGATCCACGTCGGAAAACTCTGGCTGATGAGTGCCAACTCGGCTGGGGGCGCCAATGACTGATCGCTGGAGCACGGAATTGCCCAGCGCACTGTTTCGGCCGGTTCGAGCACCAGGAGCCTGAGATTTTCTTCTAGAACGACCAAACCCGCCCTGGGACTCCCGAGCCGCAGCGGCCGAGTCCTCCCGCGGCTTGATGCCAAAATGCTGATAGATGCGCTTGCGTTGAGCGTCCCACTCCGTGGCCACGTTATCCTCAAGGAAGGTATCAAAATCGCGGATGGACCGTTCCAGGCCGTCGGAAATCATATCGAGCGTCGTCTTCGTCTGCAAGTTGGACAAGTACGTCTCGACGTCGATCTCACTGGGGGCGTATCCATGCGTGCGCTCAACTCGCGCGCTTGGAACATCAAGCAGGCCAAGGTCCTTGGCAGCCGCTCCAGGATCGACTCCCGAGGCGGCGAGCAGGTAATGAGCTTTACCGTCCAAAGGCCTCTCGTTCTGCTTGGACTGGAGCTTCCTCAGACGATGTCGCAAATCACCTAGGCCGAGCTCGAGGCTGGGGAGGTCCTCCATATTGGCCCTGGCGCCACCCTCTCTCTGTGTTTTGGCAAACAAGCTGTCAAAGTAGGCGCCCGCGGGCTGCTGCGGCTGGGCCGGCTGAGTCGAGGCACCCCAGAGACTACCGCCGAGGGAGCCAGCATTTTGCTGCGGCTGCTGTGCGGCATTCGCGTTCGTTGTCGAGCCAAACACAGAAGGCTGGGCTGAGCTCCCCATGAGAGTGCTTCCTCCAAGAAGGCTCGTCTGGGGTGCAGCAGAGGCACCACCGAAAAGAGACGATCCGGCCGTTCCCCCAAGCAGGGAAGGCTTTTGCTGCTGCTGCTGTTGCTGCTGGCCCAGAGGCTGCGAGCCAAACAGGCCACCTCCAGTGGTGCCCGTCGTTTGGCCTTGTGGTGCCTGTCCAAACAATCCGCCGCCCGTGGTCCCCGTCTGCTGCTGCCCGCCCCCCAGTATGCCTCCGGCAGCAGGGTTGTTCTGTTGCGCCGCGCCAAAGATTCCACCACCAGCCGCAGGCGTCGTGCTCTGCTGCGTCGACTGTCCGAAAAGCCCGCCGCCAGCAGGGTTATTCTGTTGAGCGGCACCAAAGACGCCTCCGCCACCCGGAGCCTGCTGTTGGTCCTGCGCGGGCTGCCCAAACGGCGAGTTGCTCGCACCAGCGGTCGACTGGCCGAAGAGAGACATGCCGGCGTGTGCGTGTCCGCCGCGGGCGAGACGAGAGAGGGCGAGGGCAGAACCCGAAACGAAAGCAACTCGAGAGAATCAGTCTACCAATCGACCGGGCCGCCGGGCAGTGGCTGGGAGTACCAGGCGTACGAGCCGCTCGTGGGCGCGCGAAAACCTGCGTCGGCAAGGTGATGCAACTGAATCACCACGCGCGGGCGTGTCTGCTTCGGAAATTTGGTGACGGACAAGGCTGAATGGAGATTTTGGTTTGTTTTTTTGCGAAAGGGAAGCTGCGAGCTTGGGCCAATGAGCGTGGGCGACGACGACGTCCGTGAGCAAAGCAGCCATTGGTCTGCGGATCCCGACAACTCCTCTGTCATCGGTTCCTTCATTTTTCATCTAGCGGCACGGTAACGTCGTAACGTACGCTTGCTCCGCAGTCCCACATCACTGCTCCGTTGCATTTAGTTGTACAGTTACTACAAGGCATAGAAGGAAGGGATGTTCCAGCACGGCCGAGGCATTAACCATCCATGCACGGACGACGGAGCACTTATTCATCCTGAAAATCAAATCAACATCTATATGCATAACGCAACCATTCCGACGAAAGCATCCCCGCGCTCGAAAGCCAGACCATGCATCATGTCCCTTGGTCCATTCATGCCATCTAATTCACTACGCCGGTTTACCCTTGCCTAGTCGCCGCCAAACTCGGCTCGCCATTTCTCAACGGCCTTGTCAATTTTCTTGCGGTACAGCTGCTGCGATTGGCACATTTCCAAGAAGACTTCATATTTGGCATCAAGGAGTCCCTTTTCTCCGGCGTCGGTGCGCGGCTCGACCAGCCGACCGCGCTTGCTCATGCGGTCCATGATATCCCAGAGCGTCTCCGGCTCGGAGCCGTCATCTCTGTTGTGGCTGGCTGCCTTGGCACCTAGCATGGCCGCTCCGTGGACGACGGCAGCATGAACATATCGCGGAATCAGGACTGGCATGCCGCAAGTCGTGGCGAGCAGGTTCATCAGCACGGGGTTCTGGCACTGGGAACCGGACATGAAGATGGATGAGATCTCGTGGCCGGCCGCGTTCATTTGCTCAATAATCTGGCGGGTCTGCATGGCAATGAACTCCATGGTGGCATAGTACCACAGAGCCATGTTGTCGGTGCTCTTGTCGCTGTCAAGGCCAATCATCGATCCCTTCATGTTGGGATCGGCAATTGGGGAGCGGTTCCCCCACAAGTCACCGTAGAAGAAGTGGTGTCGCCCGAGATAAGGCAAGCCAGGAGCATGCTGCTTCTCGGCCATGTACTCTAGATGAGCATTCAAGAAGTCGTAAATGTGCTTGTCTTCGGCCTTGGCGAGCGCGGAAGTCTCGTTGTACGCCGGGTGGATATCCAACATGTGTCGCAGGAGCTCTCCGGTGGCGGACTGACCACCCTCAGCCAGCCAGTAGCCAGGTAGCAACACGTCTCGGTAAGGGCCCCAGACGCCGGGAACGAAGACGGGATCTTTGGACATGGCCAAGTGGCAAGTTGAGGTCCCTGCTACGGCAGCCAACCGAGTAAAGGCCTGTGACAGGTCGTTGTGAGGCACGTCGGCATTGAGTTCATCGTCGCCGAGATCGACCTTGGCGCCTACAGTACCAATCCAGCCGGCGTAGGCGTCAATGACGCCACTTCCTAAGGCAACGCCCATGGGGAGACCTAGCTGGTAGGCGGCCTGGCGGCTCAAGGTGCCGACAGACTCGCCGGCGCTGAAATATGTTCCGCTCTGCGAACGACGGTCAGGATGAGTCGACGTCGTCCCAAGCACGCAGGTCTGGTTTGTTGGACTCACCACGCCATGAACGCCTCCCATTCTCGCAAAGTCATCCTTGGACAAGTCCTCCAGGCCAATGGTCTCGAAGAAGTCCTGCTGCCAGCCCTTGTCACTACTGTCGACACCGATGGGCACGTAGCCCTGCTTACAGACGGTGCTGCAGAAGCTGCGGGCCTCATTGCCAGTGGCCAAGTGAGTAAGGGCGTCGCCCAAATCATAGAACTTGCAGCGGGCAAACTGCTCAGGGGGCATGTTGTTCTTGAGCCAGAGGATCTTGGGGATCTCCATCTCGATGCTCATCTTGCCGCCGACATACTTGAGAAGCTTGTGCCCGGTGGCGTTGATCAACTCGGTCTCGCGGACAGGGCGGTGGTCGAGCCAGAGGATGACGTTGCGGTCGTGACCGTCGTTGGTAAACTCGGGGCCGGTGACGGGTACGGGCTCGTCGGTGTCGGTGGAAAAGACAGCAAGCGAGCAAGTAGCGTCGAAGCCGATGCCTTTGATGAGGCTCGGATCGACACTGGAGTCCGCCACGACTCGCCGGACGCACTCACAAATGCACTGCCAGATGTCTGTGGTTGATTGCTCCTGGAGGCCGTCAGCAGAGGCGAGGTTGCAGGCTTGGGCAAGAAGAGCAAGCGCGGGCTCATTCATACATAGTATCCCGTCTCGGGCTGCCACAGCTTGATGCTCTCCGAGGCCAGAGCTTTGATGTCGCCAGTCTCGTCAATGATACAAGCACGAGCAGAGCCGGTTCCAACATCCACTCCAATGTAGAAGTCCTGCAGGAGCACCCCCGTGTCAGTCAACTGTTCGCAAGGCAGCACTCTGTAGCGCAAGCAAGCCAAGGCATCAGAGACAGCGGGTGGCATTTACCGAGAGATGGGCCGGCCTGCTCACGGGTGGCAATCCGTCAGCATCAACGATTCGAGTGGCCGAGGTCTCCATTGCGGAAGCTGCCGCAGCACCAGGATGCTCAAGCTTGAAAGGCACGACGGACGGGTGCGAAATCCCAATTGATGACCAGGCAGCAGATGGAGCAGTACAGGAGTTGCAGAGAAGACGCAGCGGACTGGGAGGGAAACGAGCGACGAGGACGGGGCGAGACTGACTCCAGGGCCTTGATGGGCTTGTTGTACGCGTACATGATTGTCCCGACCCGGCAAGCTCAAGCTCCAAGCTCCAAGCTCAAGCTCGATAGCTTCCTGTCTTGCGGGCGACAGAGCGGGAGGGAGGGGTATGCTCGGGGCCAAGAGGGGGGCTTGGCTGCGTGTTGCCGGACCGGGTTCCAGCCGCCACGTCGTTTGTTGTTTGTTTGTTGGCCTGGAAGTTGGAGGGCGGGCGGGGCACGTCTGAACAACGCAGCACGGCACAGCACAGCACGCAGAATGCAGAGTGCAGCTCGGGCTCGGGTTCTGCTGGCAGATGGACCTGGATGGATGGACGATGGACGATGACGATGGACGAGACTTATCAAACGGTCAATCGACCGCCTTGCTCATTGCTCCGTCTGGCTGCGTCTTTCCCGCACAGGTGGAGGACGATGACGGCACCGCGGGGGGGGTTTAAGCCCTGAGAGAGGGCCCTGATGTGGAGCACAGAGTGCGGAGTGGTGCCGGGGCCCCGCGGCCAGCCATGGAGCAGCCAGGCCCCAGGCCCTGAGCCGATCAGCGGGCCTGGCTGTTTGTTTTCTGGGGCCGGGGAGCCGCCCGTCTCGGCCTGCCGCCAACTGATTGGCATGGACATTGTCTCGCAATGCGCTTGGATTGCTACTAGACGTGCACAGCACTGCACAACACGGCACTGCACTGCACCCGATAAATACCCAGGTCCGCTCCAGGTGGGCGCCCACGCCAAGTTTCCATCTTCAGATCTCGCCGAGCCACCAATCCGCCGACTTGGCCTCGACCTCGGCCTTGCTCTCTACACCGACACACGCCAGGGCGCTCATTAGAAATCGTCAAGACCCAAAAACACCGGGGAATCTGACCTCGCGCCAAAAAAAGGGGCCCGCGACGCTCATAAGCAGCCAGGCATCAGGTATATTCAAATCCACATAGCAAGCACAATCAACAACACGCTTCATTTGTTCATTCGTTCCGTCGTCACGCGCCAGGGCTCACGCCTCCGTGTCCCCATCGTGCCGCGAGTCAACCATGATGACCACCGTGATGGTGGCAGCATATGCCTCCCGAATGGCGCAAGCCATGCTGCTTGCAATGTCAGCAACTCCAGAGGTTGAGAGTGAAGGCCTTGATAACATGCAGTCCGAGCAGAGAGGGAGGGAAAGGGGAAAAAAAGGAAAAAAAAAAAAACTCACCACGTCTTCCGTACATCAGCCACCACGGCACTCAGTCCCCAGTGCGAGCACCAGGCCCTGGCCAACACTTCATTGTCAGCCACCCCGTACGCCTCCACCACGAGCACCTTCTCGTCGTCCCCGTCGTCGTCGATAAAGTCGAAATCGTCGTCGTAGCCCATGTTGTAGAGCGGCGGCGCGGGACTGGACCGCGCGCTGGACGAGCCGTTACTCAGACTCTTGTAGTACTGCCCCCCCCAGTCCCGGACGCGCACCACCTCATCCGCCTTGACGACGCGGTAGACGTAGTCGAAGAACAGCGGGTGCGGCGGCAGCGCGCACGGCCAGGCAGTCACAAACGAGACGTCGTACATGAGCCTCAGTGGCCAGGACATGCCGTCAATGGCAAGTTGCACCGTGGCGTCAAAGAGCCGCGGGCCGGGATTGGCGACTGTGTCTTCTGCCATTGCGACGACGGGCTTGAGGCCCAGCAGCTCCATGCGGACCGTGTCGACGGCAAAAGAGTCCTCGTCGGGCACGACGAGCGTGTATTCGTCCACCGGGTAGGACTGGTCCGCCGGTCCGAGGGGGTCGGATCTCTCCTTCATGCTCTCCACGTCTCCCGGGCCTATGCGCCGGTCCATCTGTTTGGGCCGCCGCGTGCGAATCCGTGCGATCTGGGACCGGCCGAGGTCTGCCGTTGGGCATCCCGGGCCGACCCAGCCGGCCACGCAACCGCACGTCGGGGCGAGGACTTTTCCCACGATGCAACTTGCCGACCAGTACGTATGGCTATTGCGATACTGGAAGCCGCACTGGGGGTGAAGGTGAGAGAGGAGGGCAAGGTCGTCGGTGGCGGGGTCGGGGTCGAGGTCGATGAGGGTGTTCATGATGAGAAACGGAAATGTAGGCTGTCGTCGCGTCAGTTGACCGCCGGGTTTAAGTATAGTCTAGCCAAAAGAAAAGGAGTATGGTCTAGCCAAAAGAAAAGGAGTATGGTCTAGCCAAAAGAAAAGGAGTATGGTCTAGCCAAAAGAAAAGGAGTATGGTCTAGCCAAAAGAAAAGGAGTATGGTCTAGCCAAAAGAAAAGGAGTATGGTCTAGCCAAAAGAAAAGGAGTATGGTCTAGCCAAAAGAAAAGGAGTATGGTCTAGCCAAAAGAAAAGGAGTATGGTCTAGCCAAAAGAAAAGGAGTATGGTCTAGCCAAAAGAAAAGGAGTATGGTCTAGCCAAAAGAAAAGGAGTATGGTCTAGCCAAAAGAAAAGGAGTATGGTCTAGCCAAAAGAAAAGGAGTATGGTCTAGCCAAAAGAAAAGGAGTATGGTCTAGCCAAAAGAAAAGGAGTATGGTCTAGCCAAAAGAAAAGGAGTATGGTCTAGCCAAAAGAAAAGGAGTATGGTCTAGCCAAAAGAAAAGGAGTATGGTCTAGCCAAAAGAAAAGGAGTATGGTCTAGCCAAAAGAAAAGGAGTATGGTCTAGCCAAAAGAAAAGGAGTATAGTCTAGCCAAAAGAAAAGGGCAACGTGGAAACCGGGAAACTCCTCACCCCTGGCAGTACGAGGCCGCTGAAAAAGGCAAAGGCATCTGAACTAATCGAATCAAGTCGACACTCTTCGTCATGAACTCTCAAGTTCTCCATGGTGGGATTCATATTCGGCCACTTCATTGCCCGTGCGAACCGCTTGAGAACCTTGACCTGTCGCTTCCTTAACTTGTACCGCAGACTCGCTGCCCACTCATTAGCACCCATCACGACGCATATGGCGCAAGACAAGACACATTTGAGCCGAGCAAGAGAAACGACGGGAAAATGCCACAGGCAGGCGTGGGTGGGTGGAATGAAGCTGAAAACTCACTCTGCTCAGGCTTGTCCCCAAACCCATCCACCCTCACATGCTCCCTCCACCTCCTCGCCAGCGCCAAATTCCACCTTATAGTCGGCGGAATCTGTCCCAGCAGCCTCTCCCTCGCCCACTCTCCATGGCTCTTGGAATGAATTCTCAATTCCAGCTCCAGACTCAGAAGCAACTGATGGAAAAACTTGCGGTATACGTCCGGATTGGCTTCCTCGGGGCTGAATATAAATCGTGTCACGACCTGGTTCTTGGGCTCGGTGAAATCGATCCAGTCGGGTCGTGATAGGACGAGCAACAAGTCCGTGATTTGCTTGTCGAGTGTCTTGTGGGGGTTCAGGATGCGTTCTGGGTCGCGGAGGATTCTCTTGTATAGTATTCTGTACAGTAGGCTCTCGTCGTCGTCTTCCAGCCCTTCCTGAAGCTCCCGCAGACGCTCTAGGACGTGGTACAGATCCACGCTGCGGGGGAGGACGCCTGAGTCGCGGAGGGCAATGGTCGGGGGGAGGGACGAAGACAGCGAGACCCATTGGTTGAGGGTTATAGTTCCAGGCCGTTGGCCGTAGATGAAGGCGCAGCTGGGTTGCTCCAGGGATTCCCAGGGCGTGGCTGGTCGTCCCGGCCCTTGGAGACGGAGCGTCATGAGTGATGTCATGGAGTCGTGGAGGCTCACGGCATCCGTGTCGTCGGGTCGGCCACCCCACGTTGTTGAGTACAGAGCGTAATAATGGTCTGGTGCATGAGGGATGGCCCTCTTGTATCCTTTATGTATTGGCGCGCCCCGGGCAACAAGCTCGATAGCATGTTGGGGTAGTAACTCATCCCGTTTGGATAACCCCGGTGGCGGCCATTCCGTCAATGTCGGCGGTGGAGGCGTCTCGGCTCTGTCCTCTTCGGATGTCCCCTTGCGCGGCCTGTTCTTCGGGCTCGGATTCTCGTCATCGTTTTCCGGTGCAGGTTTCGGTCGTCGCGGCCGTCTCCTAGAAGACGGCGCTTGCTCGTCTGCCAATGGCGCGGGCGTCGGTCTGTTCGTCCGAGCGTTGCTGCGCGGTATGCTGCTGTTGCCGTTTACTTTCCGCTGCACATGGCCTCCCCCGTTCCGGGGCACGTCGTCGATGGTGACCCGTCGTGGCACATGACCGCCATTGCGCTGTCCGGAACCCTCATCCTTGGGCCGTCGTGGCGTCGCAAGGCCATTGGCCCTGCGCTGCGCTTCACCCCCATTACCATACTCCCTGCGCGGCAAGTTTCTGAGCTTTGCCGGCGCTTCATCATGCGGCGCCTGTCCCGTCGTCGTCCTGTCCTGCTTCCTCTGGTCGCCAAGCAAAGGCGGACCGTCTCGACGGCGAAATGCCTTGAGCCCGCGTGACGCCAGGCTCCTAGTGCGCAAAATACCGCCAAGGAAGCCCTTCTTCTTCTTCTTCTCCTTCGTGGTATCATGTTCATCGTCCATCTTGGCATCAAAAAGAAAGACGAAAGCGCAACACTTGCCTCCTCCTCGTGATCAAGTCATCAAGCGCGACGTGCAACGGCTCCGACTCGCGGCCCGGCGCCAGGTTGCGCTGTGTTCTCGATGTGGCACTCCGTCGCCAAGTTTGTCTGGCTGGAGAGGAAAGACATGTAAGTAGATGAATCAAGACGCTGGGAGAACCCGCTCATGGACTCGCAGTTGAGATGCAATCGCTCGATGCGACAGTATCGATGTCGTGTGGCGACCAGGAGGCAGTCACGAATACGCCCGGGGTCATGCTCGCATGAGTGAATGAATATCAACCAACCCCAGTCAATGCTTGGTCGTGTTCGTGTAACAAGAAGGAAGAATGAAGAGGCAATCAGAGGCGTCAAACAGCTGCGTATCCTATTGTGCTCATGGTCCAAGGACAATGGCGGTAAGGTAAGCCTTGGACCCGCAGCAGACAATGGTGGGACTTGTGAATGGCAATAGAGAAAAGATGCGGCTCACGAGCAAGAGATGTGATGGGAAAAGAAAGAAAGGAAAAAAAACAGCCGCCCCCACCACCAGAGCAGCCCGAGGAATCTGCACATGTCGACGCGAGGATCGGGACGAGCCCCGAGGAGGCTGGTTTGATCCATGCCTTGGGGTGCTCAAGGTCCAAGGATGCACGACGTCAAAACACCAGTTGCCCAGTTGCCCAGTCGACATCGACTGGTCAGCCTCCGCCTCCGCCTCCGCCCACCCACGCACGTGCGACCGACCAATCGCCGACGCCGCCGGCAAGCAAAGCATGCAAGGGTGCGGCGTCGTTGGCCAAATTGGGGACCACGTCAACATGCGCCTCTCCTCTCACATCTCACGCAATGCATGTGCTCCGTGCTTTGTATGTAGGGAGGCGTCGTCGTCACGCATCTTGCGCTTTTGTGCTCGCTCCATCTGTTCAGCTCCCAGGCGTAACTTATTGATTGACATTTTTTCTGGGCGTCTCCAAGGAAAGCAGACGCTCCAAGACTCTCCTTGTCCAGCTGCCTACCCATTCGACGGGCTGCTCCGAAACCCTACCACTGCAACTGCTTGCCTTGCTCCCCGAAACACATGCTTATGCTCTCGACGAATCCTCCCAAAACAGGTCCGTCCTCTGGCATATAGTGTGTGCCGAGTACTCCGTAGCTGGTACACATCTCTGGCTGTCCAAAGAGCCTCCCCTCTCATCTTACACACCGCCAGCCCTCGAGCGTAAGTACTTACAGAACCTCCCCTTCGGCTCCCCATCACCTCAACTCTTCCGACACCGCGTCGGTGCTGTTGTGGCCGCCGCGCCACTTCGAAAACGCCTTCTGGTACTGTACAGCATCGTGGTCAGTCAAGTCGGCTGGCTGGCTGCTGCCCTGCACGGCTCCTCGCCTGCCACCCCGTGTGCGGCGGCGCTCCATGTGATTGATTCCAGGCAGAATGCTCACCTGCAAAACAAAATTCACGACAAGCGCCGCCATCAGCGCGACGCTGATCATCATTGGCCCAAGCATGTTGTCAAAGTCCTTTCCGCTTCGCTCCACAATCATGCCTCTCCGAACCTGGTGCATGTAGTAGCCCCAAAATCCTGCAAATGCCGCAATCGTCACGTAGGCAATGCCCATCATCTCTGCTAGTAGGCTCTCCCCTGCTGCCGTGTACAGCGCCAGGGCTAGACTGCCCTGGAGAATGGCAATGTTTTGCCACTTGAGGAACGTTCTCTCGTTTGCCAGCCACACCTTGGGTTCGACCTTGAGCTCGCCCATGTTTTTGATCCATTGCTTCGGCTCGACGACACCCTCGGGGAGCCGTGCCTTTTGGGCACGTTTGGCCTTGGCGTACTTGGACAAGGAGAGACCGGGAAGCACGGACGACAAGGTGCCGTAGCCTCCGCCGCTCCGCGTTTGTCCTTGGAGCTGCTGCCGGGAGTTGCTGGATTCGCCCTCTTCTTCGCCATTGGCAATGCCGCTCCTCCTTCGGAGGGAAGTCGACAGGGCTGCCTTGGAATCGGCAGCCATTCTGTCGGCCAGATACGACTTGCCCACCGGCGAGCTCTGCGCAGCCCTGTACGAGCTGGGCACCGTGCCAATCAAGCTGCCCACCGCCATTGCGTCGTCGGCCTTCTGGGCCCGTCTCTGCTCCTCTTGTTCAAACGCCGTCTGGGGATCCTTGCGAATGTCCGTCTCGAGATCTATGAGCCAGAGAGGCAAGTTGTTCACGTGGTCCTCGAACAGCGAGGCTACACCGTGCACAAACTTGGAGAATCTCGGTGCAGCGTAAACGAGATGTGAGCCCATGAGATCCTCGATCCAGGCAGGTCGCTTACGATTGCCGTCGTCCTTGAGCTTGATGTCGAGCACAGCGAATGGGAACTTGGAAACTTCGCTCTGGTTGATGTTTCGGAACGGGTACGTCATGCTGCTGTTGTCAATATCCACTCGGTGCCAGTCATTCGGGTCGCGACACGGACGTTCAGGGTCGAGAGTGTCTTCCCGAATGAAGGCGAGATTCGTATCAATGGAGATGCGGACGCGGTCATCCAGAGGCTTCTGAAAGGCCGTTCGGGCGTAGTTTGCTCTCAGAATCGGAGACAGATGCTTCTCCTTGAGAAAGCTCTGAATCTTGGCCACGGTTGCCTTGTAGCTTTCAATCTTCTCCTCGGGCTGTCCTTGGCGCTCCATCTTTTGCAGGGCCTTGTCCATGGTATAGTCGCCGTCAATAAACGGCTTGACATACTTATCCTTGATGATGAACTTGTGCTCTTCACTGTTACCAGACGCATCGGCGGCCTTCTGCTCCACGAATATCTCGGGCCGGGTATTCAGCTGACCATACCAACGCAGTCGGAGGGAAGACGTCTCGGAATGGCGGTCTACTTTGTCCGAGTAGAGTTCAAACTTGTTGTTGTCGAAATAGAGCGAGGTAATGGCGGGCGAGTCGTTGCCGTCGACCTCCTTGGCCGCCTGATCGCTGTACACGAGAGCGGGAAGTCGGCGAAGAATCAACGTCTGGACCTCGAGCAAGTTGTCGGGATGCACCCAGACTGTGTGTGGCGATGATTAGCAGAAGTTGCATGGCTTGCATGGCCGAGCAGAGGGCCCCGGCCCCGGCCCCGGCTCCAGCTCCAGCGCGCAGCCAACAGTTGCACTTACACTTGTGGGAGACGTAGCGCTCTCCATTGTGCGTCTCTCCGCGGGTGTCCAGATCCGGCACGGTCTGCTCGGCAGAGGCACCCTCGAGCTGTTGTCTGATGGCAAAGTACATGATGGACAGCTTGTTCAGCAGGGGCGAGTAGCCCTGCTCCGAGTTGAAAGGTCGCTGCGACAGGCTGAGCTGCATCATGGGACGGACCTTGTATCGATCTCCTCGCTTGCGGTCGTGCTTCTTGACAATCTTCAAGAATCCAGTGTAGTTGATGCTGCTGTACTTCTTGAGCTCCTTGACTTCGTTGGTGATGTTGTCAAGCTCCCTCTCCAGCTCCTTCAACCTGGACGCCTCTTCCTCCGTGCGTGTGGCAGGCTTGTCGCCCTCGGCCGGCGACAGCTCCTTCAACTTCTCAAAGGCGGTGCCGACACGCTGCTTGAGAGCGTCGACACGCTCCTGCTGGAAGCGGGCGACCTTCTCGAGTTGGACATTGAAGATCTCGTCGGAAAAGCGCTTCTCATCCTCCTCGGTCCACGGCACAGTGTCGTCGTCAAACTTGTCCTCGCGAAGCAGTGCCTTGAGCTTGCCATAGTCAATGTATTTGTCCTTCCATGGGGCGTAGACGCCGTCTCGCAGAGTCTTGCCAAATCGCATCTTGTCGCGGTCGCAAGAGTTGACCGGCCGGGAGAGGGGGTGGAAGAGAGGAGCACGGACTGGGGCGGCGACGAGCCCGGCGACCGAGAAATCCTTGACGAGCAGTTGATGGATGAGGTGCACTAATGGTGTCCCGTCTGGGGGGATTGGATGGATGCTGCCGTCACACCAGACCCAAAGTCAAAAGCGGCGCTTGAGAATCGAGGCAATTAGTTAGTTATTTGGCAAAAGGAAAAAACAATCGGCAGCTGGCCTGGCCTGGCATCCCAGGCGACCAGGGACAATTCCACAACGGCCTATCGGGACCAAACCCTCGCAGTCGCAGGCTGGACGGCTGGATGAGCCCATCAACGTTTCATTGCTTGTTGGTTGCTGGTCTGTTCGACGTTGGGGATGCGCCGTTGGCGGGGACACGGGGACACAGAGCAAAGGTGGGGGGGCAGCCCAGCCCGAAGGACCGCCGCCGCAGCTTCACTTGAGGCTTGGTGGCGCCGGGAACCACTGAAAACCACCCGCGCCTGCTGTGCAGTGCAGTGCAGTCAACTGGCAGCCCGCCCAGCCTCCTCTGCAAACTACAACATCGCCTTGATTCAACGGCCCATGTGTTTGTAATTGGAGACGTAAAAACCGTCATATATACATTTACATACGCTTCGTCATTTTCATAACTCGGGGTCAGCTGCGTCTTGTGGTATCAATGCCATCCATCAATCATACACAGTAGCAAGCAAAATACAAAAACCATCTTCCTCTTTAGAAACATGCCCCAAAACTCCACCGAAATGGGGGAGAATCCATCCATCCTTTATTTGACTTCGGCGACTCGGCCCAGAATCTCCTGAGCGCTGCGCTTCACGATACCTCCAGTAACGGCGAGGTTAGTGTTTTGTTCAAGGTACAAATCAACCTCACGGGCAGCCATACGGCCTTCGTTGATACCCCTGCGCCATGGGCATTAGCAATTGATCCAAGCCATTCACACTTTAGGGGGGGGGAGGAGTCCCGAAGCTTACCAAACAATGAGAGACTGCCCACGACGGGCATCACCGGCAGCAAAGACGCCCTCCATGTTGGTGCAATACTTTCCAGCTGGTGTTTTGACATTCTTGCGAGCATCCTTTTCGATCTCATCTCCCAAAACACGGGCCTCGGGTCCCAAGAAGCCCATGGCCAGGAGGACGAGGTCGGCAGGGAAAAACTGCTGAGATCCCTCGACCTTCTTCATGTCCCAGCCACCACTGGGAGACTTGGTCCATTCCACGCGGATGGTATTGATGCCCTTGACTTTGCCGCTCCCATCGTCAACGAACTCCTCCGACATGATGCAGTACTCTCGGGGGTCCCTGCCAGTGTGCTGGCGGACCTCACTATGGCCATAGTCGACACGGTAGATACGGGGCCATTGGGGCCAAGGGTTGTCGCTGGCTCGCTCCGGAGGAGGCTGAGGCAGCAGCTCGAAGTTGGTGACAGACTTGGCACCGTGACGAACCGACGTGCCAATGCAGTCGTTACCTGTGTCGCCACCACCAATAACTACAACATGCTTGTCTTTGGCAGAGATGTAGGCCTTGTCAACAAGCTCCGAGTCCAGCAGGGACTTGGTGTTCTTGTGCAGGAATTCCATGGCGTAATGAATCCCGGCCAGCTCACGGCCCTTGATAGGCAGATCACGGGCAACCGTGGCACCGGTGGCAATGATTACGGCATTGTTTCTGCTACGAAGGTCGGCCAATGACGGCTGGCCCTCTTCACCGACAGCAACACCTGTCTCGAAATTGACGCCTTCGGCAGCCATCAAGTCTGTACGGCGCTTGACGATACGCTTATCGAGCTTCATGTTAGGGATACCGTACATCAAGAGGCCGCCAAGGCGGTCGGCACGCTCATAGACAGTGACTTTGTGGCCAGCACGGTTGAGCTGGTCGGCGGCAGCAAGACCAGCGGGACCAGAACCAATAATGGCAATATTTTTGCCTGTGCGGATCTCTGGGGGGCGAGGAACCATCCAGCCCATCTCGAAACCACGGTCAATAATGGCGCATTCAATAGACTTGATACCGACAGGATCTTCGTTGATGCCCAGGACACAGGCGCCCTCGCAGGGAGCAGGACACACACGGCCAGTGAACTCGGGGAAGTTGTTGGTCATGAGAAGGCGGTTGAGAGCATCCTTCCAGTGGCCCTGGAACACCATCTCCTGCCACTTCGGAATGATGTTGGAAATTGGGCAACCCGTCTCCGACTGACAAAACGGAACGCCACAGTCCATGCAACGAGCTGACTGGTACTTGAGCTCATCCTCGTCAAGACGAGAGCTGAGTTCTGCCCAGTCTTTAGTTCGGGTAGAAGCGGCGCGATACTTCTCAGAGCGGCGAGCATACTTCATGAAGCCCTTGGTCTTGTCAAGCACCAAAGCTCTCTTCTTTTCGGCCTTGGCATCACCGACAGCCTCCTCTAAATCCTGCAACTTAGCGGCCTTCTCCCCTTTCTTGTGCTTCACGCCAGAAACAACAGGGAGGTTGTACTCGGCACGTTTGGCTTCAGCAGCCTTGGCAGCCTCCTCCTCCAGGACTCTCTTGTAGTCAATAGGAAGAACCTTGACAAAGCGAGGGAGGGCACGGTTGAAGTCGACCAAGATACGGGCAGCAAGCTCAGACCCAGTGTAGTGGTGGTGATCCTCGATGAGACCACGAACAAATGCAATTTCTGAGGGATCGGTGATCGGACCAGCCTCAACCATTTCGGTGTTGAGCTTGGAGTGGAAATCATTGTGGATGTCGAGCACGTAGGCAATACCACCAGACATGCCAGCAGCAAAGTTACGTCCGCTACGTCCGAGAATGACGACACGACCACCGGTCATGTACTCACAACCATGGTCACCAACGCCTTCAACAACTGCCGTAGCACCAGAGTTGCGGACGGCGAATCGCTCAGCCGCAATACCGCGGAAAAAGCAAGTTCCAGTGGTGGCACCATAGAGACAGACATTACCAACCAGAATGTTTTCCTCGGCCTTGAAAACGGCATTGCGAGGGGGGTAGACGATCAATCGACCACCAGAGAGACCCTTACCGACGTAGTCGTTGGCATCGCCCTCCAATTCCAGTGTGACACCAGGTGCAAGGAAGGCGCCGAAAGACTGGCCTGCAGACCCCTTGATGTTGACGTGAACAGTATCCATGGGCAAGCCAGCCTCGCCATATCGCTTGGAGATCTGATACGACAGCGATGTGCCCATGGCTCGGTCAGTGTTGACAATGTCACACTCGATTCGGGATGGGAGACCCTTGTCGAGAGTCAACTCGGCTTCCGAGATGAGCTTGTTGTCAAGGCGAACATAGAGCTTGTGGTCTTGCTTTCGGACGTTGAATGTGGCGACACCAGGGCGAAGCTTGTGAGCGGGTGTCAACAGCAGCGACAAATCAATGTTGGCAGTCTTGTGCGTGCGGAGATCGTCACGCATCTTGAGGAGCTCGACGTGGCCCACCATTTCGTTAATGGTCCGGAAACCAAGCTGGGCCATGATGGCCCGAAGCTCATTGGCAATATAGTAGAAGAAGTTGATGACATGTTCAGGTGTACCCTGGAACTTCTTTCGCAGCTCAGGGTCCTGAGTAGCGATACCAACTGGACAGGTGTTCAAGTGGCACTTGCGCATAAAGATGCAGCCCATTGCAATGAGAGGTGCGGTAGCAAAGCCCCATTCCTCAGCACCGAGCAAGCAGGCAATGGCGACATCACGTCCGGTCCTTAGCTGACCGTCAGTCTGAACGACGACTCGGCCACGGAGGTCGTTGAGAACCAAGGTTTGGTGAGTTTCGGCCAGACCGAGTTCCCAAGGCAGACCGGCATACTTGATACCAGTCCATCGAGAAGCGCCAGTACCGCCGTCGTGTCCAGAAATGAGGATGTGGTCAGCTTTGGCCTTGGCGACACCAGAAGCAACGATACCAACACCGACTTCAGAGACGAGCTTGACAGAAACGCGTGATCGAGGACTAGAGCACTTTAAATCGTAGATGAGCTGTTTAAGATCCTCTATAGAGTAAATGTCATGATGAGGGGGAGGAGAGATGAGACCGACACCAGGAGTAGAGTGACGGGTACGAGCAATAGACTTGGAGACCTTGTGACCAGGAAGCTCACCGCCCTCACCAGGCTTGGCGCCCTGCGCCATCTTGATCTGAAGCTCGTCGGAGTCGGCGAGATAGGCGGAAGTGACACCAAAACGGCCAGAGGCGACCTGCTTGATGGCAGAGCGCATGGTGTCACCGTTTGGCATGCGCTCCGATCGTTCAGGGTCCTCACCACCCTCACCTGTGTTAGACTTGCCGCCAAGCCTGTTCATCGCAACAGCCAGGGTGGAGTGAGACTCCATGGAAATAGAACCGTACGACATTGCGCCAGTGCAGAATCGTCTGACAATCTCCGTCCATGGCTCCACCTGATCGATAGGCACAGGGGTAGCATCCTCGAAGTTGAAGTCTAAGAGTCCTCTGAGAGTACAGTTCTTGATTTGCTCATACTCGGCCTTGGAGTAAGCCTCGTACGACTTATCGTTCTTATTTCGAACGGCGTCTTGGATGTTGGCAATGGCAGCAGGGCTGTTGATGTGGGGTTCACCGCCATCACGCCAGTGATATTCTCCAGACTCTGGAAGGGCCTTGATATCCACAGTGTACCGAGACGGGAAACCGCGCTCATGGAAACGGAAGGCATCTTCCGCGATGAGTTCAAACGTCAAGCCCTGGATGCGCGAAGCTGTACCCCTGAAGCAGCGTTCAACAACCGTCTCGTCAAGACCGAGGGCCTCAAATATCTGGGCACCTTTATAGGAGGCAAGGGTGGAGATGCCCATCTTGCTCATAACTTTCAAGATGCCTCCATCGCAAGAGTGAATGTAGTTGCGGATAAGAGCCTCATTTGAAAGCTTCTTTTTGATCAAACCCTCACGGTTTAGCTTTAGTACGCACTCCATGGCTAGATATGGATTGATG